AGAGAGAGAAAGAGAAGAGAGAGAAAGCAGAGAGAGGGCAAGAGAGAGAGCGTTAATTCAACGTCTTGATAATACAAGTGCCGCAGAGCGACAGCGCTCACGCTGGACCGGGCAGGTGTTTCTGATGCTAAACGTCACTGGCAAAAGCGAAATGAAGAGCACCCTCCCAATGACAGGCGTTCGCGCTCAGAGGCATATATCTAGATACTACTAATACAGATCTAACATCATAATAGCTAGGGCTTTATGCTATACCGGTAGTACAGTAAAAAGATACAGCTGTGTAACTTTAATGACTTCGCTATATTAACATGTTATCATGGAACATGCATCGAGCGCGAGCGTAGGTGGTGGCTGGTGGGGGTAGAGTGGGGAGGGCGGATGGAGGGGGCTCTCATAGCAAAAGCAGTTGCCCGGCGAGATGGTGTTTCGTGCAAGTGTGCAATCAATAATCAAAGATGGCATCACCCTTCGTGCGTGATAACCTCCACTCCATTGAGTTTGCTGAAATCCAAGTATATTCAGGCAGGTGAGAATTTCGCATTCAGGCTGTGAGTTAACACATCTGCATTGCAGGTTGCCAGGCAAAATTATTATTGAGAACAGTGCTAGTTCACCGCCCAATGCATGCGTAATGGGCTGCCCCCAATGTTTTTGCCTACCCACGCGAGCATTCAAAGGGGGTTGCATTACAGTGTGCTAATACAGGGTGCTACTCAGGGTGGCTAATACAGGACTGCTTTAGAAAAATAAATATGATTTAAGGAAAGCATAACCTTCGTTTAATAAAACATTTGCCTTTGCATTGAACTGGTGCAAAACTAGTAGCGCTCTACATCCAGCAATAGGCAAAAGCAGTTCAAGTCCTTTGTTAAGCAGTCAACAAATGCTATGTTTAACGCCTCCTCTTGAGGGTCAAAAGTTTATTCCGACACTTACTGGGCACTCTCGGCATGTCAGGCGGAAGTACATTGTTTATGGTCCTTTTAATAAAGCCATAAAAATGGTAGGTCAGCCGCTGAAAGAAAAAAAGTGTTTTTCCACATCGCTCCGTCAGACCATGTCTCAGAAAATGTAATAAAATCTGCCCTGTGCCCCATTGAGACCTTTGACCGTGTGATCTCGACAATTTTCGGCAGCCGTGATGGCTTTTCCTGACCAATGATGCCTATACACCGACTATCACTGTTCAAATATCTTTAGTTTGATGAGGAGTGTAACTATGGCGCAGAGTCAAATAGCAGATGAAAGAGTGAGAATGAAAACTAAACTGTAAACTGGCATTTAATTATGCAAATGGCGAAGAGACATTTCTATTGTTCCATATATATCGGATCCTCTAAAACCTTAGCTCAGAGTCATCCGCAATCGCTAACGCAATGAGCGCTATCATATTGTTACGTTCTTTCTCCCTTTATAAAAGAATTAAACTTCAAAAAACTTAATTACCGTTGACCGTTTACTCACAAACAAACATTCACAGAGTCTCGACCGAAGAAAATCTTGCTTCGATTTTTAAGAAGTGAAATAATACCGTTTTAATCTTGAGTACATTAAATTAAATCAGTCTTGCAATGCTTACAAACTGTCTTGACGTGCAATCCTAACACAACTTTTTAGATAAAATGAAAACTCGAATTGAACTTGTCATGTTGCTACTTTGGGCATAATGATTGGTGCATCTAGCACTTGGTACTGTCTGCAAGCAGATTAAGTTGACGCGGTTTGTAACCTTCCTGCACATCTCGACAACAACCACTGGAGCTGCGTGTCGGATGTCTTCAACTGCAGGTGGTGGTCTTGGTAAGGACTGCCTGATTATTGCCCTGTCAGCGTCGCAGTGATGCATGCTACAGTCATTGAGAACTCGAATTGTATGCCGAGTGTGTCACGCAGAATGTCCTCGATACTCCTGCACATACCCGTAGCTGGCTTGCCCTCTGCCGTGTTTTTTAGGTAAATGACAGTGGTTACGGCCGCAGGATCCTTCGCGGATTCCGTTTCGACGTTGTAGCGATCGTGTGACAGCCTCTTTGTTGTAGCTGTACCTTGTTTGCAACTCCTTTCGTCGCTGTGTGCGAAGGTGGCAATACGAACAGTGTCACCCACCGTGAGCGGTTCTAGGTTTCCCTTGCGCAGCACACGATTGTAATAGAGACGCGCTGTTCCGCCTTTAATGAGCCTCTAATTGACGAGACACAGATTTCGGAATTCTGTGTTTTAGTAGAGTTGGCCTCATTGCAGTAGCCGTTTGAGTGCGACGGTCATTAACGGTTGAGCTGGACTGGACTGTCCATACACGTGCGACGGGGTTATTGCGAAATTCAAGTAAGGATGGCAGTCTTTGAAAAGCTTGGGCTAGGTGCATAAGTCTTTAGCTGTCTTCAACAGCCTGTTGCGCCTTCCGCATGATTGTGCTTTGGGTCGGTATTCCCTGGAGATTGTCACCACATAATCAAAATCCCCCATTCTTCTCCGCGAATCTGCGAATTCCTCCGCGATGAATTGTGGGCCGTTGTCGCGATTACCTGTGTTCGGGTACACCGTGCGCGTACATAACTGAGCACGCAACTATTCTTATCAGAGCCGTCGACGACCTTCGTAATGCTGGGAGAATAGTCAACTTACCAGAAGTTGAGAAATCGTGCCACGGTCATGAGTTAGATTTTTTTCGCGCGGCGCCGAGCCCGGCGGGGACCGCCCGGGCCGCCCTCCATGTAATTGGCGAACAGATCTACACCACCAACCTTGTGACAAACGGTTGGTTCGGGGATATGTCATGAGGAAATGAGTCCTTCTGGTCTGCTGATGTGTTTTTTTTTTTTCGTAGGTCCGACAGCTCTCACACAGGGGCCGACTGATGTACGTCGCGAATCTCAGGCATTCATGTTGGGGCCCAATAATACAGTTTTCACGGGCCCTTCGGAGACAACTTCGATGGCCAACCGTGAGACCGAGTGAATTTTGAGGTTATGTCGGAAGCGCAGTGACCTTCGGTATCACTATGCGTTAGCGCTCGAAATACAATCCAGGCCTGCACTACGAGTTCGTCACGCAGATTGGTAGTAAGGGTCTGAACCTAGCCCTAAAGCAGTCATAGAGTATTTTTCAGGCCAGGCCATGTAGGATCACATCGCTGTAGTACTTCAGAGTCTCATCCTTCGCTGTCTCCCGTTTGATTCTTCTTCGTAGACGTGCATCCGTGATTGGACAATGTCTTTGAGGCCATGTTTAATGGCTCTCGTAGTCAGAGAGTTCTGATCCTTGCCAAGTTGAGCATCTTTGTCTACCAAGAAAGCGCGACTGAGAGTGTCCGCTAGGTGACATTGACTATTCCAGGCGGGGGGGGGGGAGGGATGAAATAGACATTACTGTGTACGTTGTATCTCTGTAAACGTAGCAGCATTCGCTGTAACCCGCTTCGGAGCGGTAATGAAGAGACTTCTTAGTGATGCATTTTTCGAGAGGTTTGTGATCTCTCTGGACGGTTACCCTGCCTACCGTACGTGAGTAGTGGTGGAAAATACTCGTCGAGTAACCGAACACCGACTGCAAGGAGTTCTTTGCTCATATTTGTGGCATAGCGCGTTCTTACATCTGTGAGTTTGCATCGAACTGGCGAATGCACCGGTTGACCATTTTGAAGCGAGAGCGGCTGCAAGTCCTTTTTCCGATGTAACAGTTCACATTGTAAGAGTGCAGCTTCTTTCCTTTGGCATTAAAGTAAGCGCAGTAGCTGGTTGCGTAAGTCAACCAAGATCGTTTTAATCTCGCAGGCACAGGCGTCATTTGAGAGTGTGTTTCCAGCCAAGCACCGACTCCATGGTCCTTGGCTGTTCACGGCTTCCTTAGTGTTCACAATGGTCCTCAGTCCAGGTAAGAACTTACTCAGGTAGCGTCACAAATCCCAATGAATCGACGCACGCGAAAGCAACATCAGTCGGTTCCGGCATCTCTGTGACTGCTTTCACTTATTCCCGCGGATCTGCTTGAGACCTTAGCTGTGATTAGGTGCGCAATGAAGCGAACTATCTTTGTGTCGAAGTCGGAAGTCTTTTGCGCCTTTTGAGCTGCCGGCGAAGCGGGTGTGATACAGATTTATAGTGTACCGGACATTTTCGCACGCATGCTCGGCCGTACGCAATGCTATCATGAGTGATTTCGTAAACGCGGACGCTCGTGATAAGGAACTTTTTGTCAGGGCTGTCCATGTGCGTCCGTGATTAGTACGTGTGTTGTACTCCATTTTCATGTTTAGTCCGTGGCCGTGGTTACACCGCTGACACCTCCATTTCATCTGGCGTCCAAAACATATGGGCCGCACAAATGTTTACGTCATCGCTTGACTCCTGGATGACATTTACGGCACGTAAATGAATATCAACAACCGATTTCAAGTCTTGCTTGTAATGTAACCAGCAGTGATATTGGACAAACTAATACGCATTTGGCTATTAGG